AATTATAATTCTAGGAATGTATTCAGTCCGCCATGACGAAACATTCCTAGTGGCGAAGAAGATAAGTTATCGGATAATATTTTCGCAGCATACTCTTCAACTACAATCTTGCGCATAACTCTTAACACCGATCCACTTCGCTTCAAACTGGGTGGAATGTCTTTGTTATGTCCAGCAACTTCTTGCTTTTTATTGCAAACTTAGATTGTTATTTTCATCATGACGAGAAACTTTAGAAATTTGGTTGTATGTACATAATATGTATTGTGATTGGTTAATGTATCTTAACACCAAACAAAGATTACAATGATATTCCATGTGAAGGGCTGCTATATAATCCATTTTTGGTTGCTTTCAGCGAAGGCAAGGTAAATGATATTCATTGTTTACCAAAATACATGTTTTTCCCTCCACTGATTCCTTTAGATAGCGATTGTGTTCACGCTTATTTAAAGCGGAATGGATATGGATATACACCCCCCACTCGACCCCCTCAATTAGGCATCTAGTGACTGCCCTGTTCCCTGCGTTAATGCTGGTTCTGACGTGTAGTGACCACTGGTAGTGACGTCGTAATTCACCTGTACGCGTGCGTACCGATTTTTTTGTTCATCTACCCCGGGGGAAAATTCCAGAGTATTTTTTGCCGGGATGTCGGCACGTGTGATGTAAATAAAGATGGCGGCTTCTTCTATTTCGAGTATTGATGAAAATTATGTTTTACCGAAAACAAATAACGTCAAACCTCAACAGAATTTAGTTGATATTATCAACCTTGATCATAACTACTGTAGACCGTGGTCTGAACGTGAAAAAATTCCACATGCGAGGCCTGCTAAGAACCTTTTCTGGCCGCAAACAGAAAATGAGTATGAAGAGGGCAACGATACGACGACATCTGAAGCGAAGAGAAAACCCGAAGACAAAAAAGTGGTTAAAGTAGATGAGGTTATTGATGTTGAGACGGTTGAAGAAGAGCCACTTAATGGGCCTGCTGCTGTTAATATGCAATATGATGTTGTGAAGTCCAAAATTGTGATGTCTGAATGTGAGAAATATGTTAATAGTTCATCCAGTAAACGAACACCTGACACTTGGGAAGAGCTCATTTGTAGGTATGTAATATCCCAAATGATTAGGAAGCAAAGTATATACTTCATTAATATTTTATACAAAGATTCATTGAATCCTGAAATATCTAATTCACTTGCCAACCTATTAAACATGATGAAACTGTTTTAGAACTGGCTGGACAACGCAACAAAATGTACTGTTTGATAAGATTCTCAAGATTGTGTCCGCATATCGTCTCTCATGGCTGACATATCAAGGGGTAAAGTTTTCGAGAAAAAATTTGATTGAGTTCCATTTCTTATATCGACTCTAGTAATGGAATTTTCTATTTTATCTTAGTCGGCCAATGAGCCAATCCTTCGTCGGGTGGCTGTTGATAAAGCCACAAAACGTGTCAGGCAAATTCTAAGCAGAATTGAATGGGTAGGTTAGGTATATTTACAACTGGTATATTCTATGAATTCTATGAAATGATCCTATGAAATGTCAAGATTCTTCATTTCACCATAATGTATTTCTAGGAACCTAAACTAACAACTTGGTTACACAGTTCAATGGTTGATGGTCTCAGTGTTCCACTGTTGACTTGTTATTTGGATATTGTGCAAACATTGCGATCAAAGGTTAGTGTTGAAGTCCACTCATCTCAGAACTTGTCTTCTTCAGTTTGTTTTATAAGTATTTTTCTTAGGTACCAACGCTTGTGGACAGATGATTGCAGGGGGCACAAGCAATCGCCGTGTCTCAGCTGGGGCAACAATCTTACTGCATTATTAAAAAGACCTTGGGATGCCACAGTGGCACTAACATCTTTCCAAAGACCTGTAAGTGAATGACATCAGTATACATGCCTGATGTAAACCATTGTATCAGGATTTCATGTTTTATTGTTGCTGTAATAGTTTATATTTTTCTTTGTTCAAGCAGAGAAAGATTACAGGAACTCCTTTGTTTATTGATGTACCAAGCGGACCAACTACCAGTGCTTCTGGTAATTCAACCAAACGGTCTCGCTTCTGGCACCATCATCTTTCACACTTTGGTAAAGTAATCCCTGTCACAATGCATCTTAGTAACAGTGGTAGAGGCGTTTCTATTGGCCAATGTCTTGATCACATGATTGGTGCTGTTCAAGCTAAAGTTCTTGAGGTATTTTGATTATTATTCTTTGTTTAGTGTATGATCACTTCATAGAAATTTTAATGTCTTTATTTAGCTAAAAAATCACTTTCCTAACCGTCCTGTTGTTCTCATCGGTTGGGCGACTGGAGCTTTGGTCTCTTTCCAGGTGAGGTTTTTTATACCATTCTCAACTTCGTTGACAAACATGATGAAGTAGAAATTGTTTTTTTCATTGTTTCAGGTATCATTGAAAGAGTCTGTCTGTGCTGTTGTCTGCCTTGGTTTTCCCCTCCTGGGTGTTGAAGGAATTCGTGGGGTAAGTATGATTGTAGGTGGATCAATATTGATTGTGCAGTGACTTGGGCCTGTGAAAATATGCTGAGTCACAAATGATTTATCAAAGCAAGTGATCAATATTTCTTATCTTTCAGGAAAGTGGTGATTCTTTCCTGGAAAACAAAACTCCAACAATGTTTGTTTTTGGTTCGTTATCCACATCATGTTCTTTGCCAGATATTGAGGTTGGTAGTATGTTCTTGCTGTAAGCTGTAGGAATGTTCTTGCTGTAATCAGGGCACTCAGGTGCACAGGGCAATGAATAGAATAAACTAAATTTTTAAATCCTGAAGCCTAAAATTAATTTACTCCCAAAGTCTAAAATTGAAGCGCTGCTGTGGAATAATGGTCTAGAGTTTTAAAAAAGGGAGCTCAGGATATTGGCTTATAACCTAAATTTTTTCTTCACATCTTTTAATTCAACTGTTTTCCTCAACTTTTTTTTGTGTGCAGGAGTTCCGAAGAAAACTGATGTCAGATACTAGTCTACTAGTGATCGGAGGTGCTGATGATCAGGTAAAGTTCTAAAACTCAAGTTGTTTGAACTATCTTCAATTCATCGCAAACCAAACACGATTTGACTTGTGTGTTCTCGTCTTATATTTAGCTTCGTCTCACAAGCGCGAAAAAGAAAATGGAACGTGTGACCCAGTCTGTAGTAGACAGAAGGATCATGGTATGTTTCACGTTTATGTTTTGTTACATTCGTAAAACTCTAGTGCTTAATGCAAGTTATTTCACAGCTGTGCGAAAATTGCGAAAAAAATTATAGCGTTTTATGTTAGAGGTTTATCTCCTTACAAAAAGGTTCTGTTTTAAGAACTGAGAACCAATATAACATCTTTTAATCATTTCGATATTTTGATATCCATTCAATACCTATGGCAATGTTAAGACACAGTCAATGCATGTTGATGCCAGGAACGTTTTTTTTTGGTATTAAACACAATTACGAAAGAGTGTTTTGCAACTTTGCAGACATATTTTTAAAGTTGGAAAGAAGCACAATTTGTGCGCTTCTGCTCAAAATATTAATTTTACGCTAGAACTGTATGGCGAATGTTAAAAAATATTAAATCCCAGACATTCGTTGACTCATAGGACGATATTGGCGAGTTTCTTAATCACGCTGTCTCATCAATGAATGATGACTCACATCCACGATTAAACTATTTTGATTTTGACGATGTCGATAATCGACGAAAGAAACCAAAAACGGAGTATCGGAAGCGTTCGGCCGGCGACGCGGCGGGCTCGGCAACAGCCGCCAAAAAACCTCGTGGACGAACGCCTAAAGCAGCTGATGGAAGTGCCCCGAAGAAACCAAAAACTGTGAAAAATGTCAAAAAGACACCTGCTAATAAACCGGTTGCAGCAACTGGTCAAACAGGTAAAGAATCAGCTGCTCCAGCAGCTCGACCAACCGGTGGTCTTCCAATCGCTCCATTACGACCGACACATCCCACAATTCCAGGCAGTATCATTCAAGGAGTCCCGCTGACCAGTGTCAGTGTGCCAATATCTGCAGTATCCCGGGTAAGCATTCCCGGGGTACGTTTAACTGGTGTAAATATTCCTGTTTCTGGTGTCAATGTCCCGGTATCTGCTGTAATAAAGCAAGGCTCATTGGGAGGTAGGTCTTTCGTGTTCCCAGGAGCGGCGAGTATATCCCCGGGGGTAGCGACCACCGGAATAACGACAGTGGGGACTGCGGGGAGCACCCATCACCTAAAGATTGTGGTCAATCCTAACACAGATGGAGGGATAAAGGTCGCTGGTGCCCCTACTAAACCTGGCCTATCAACTCCATCGACAATGCAGTACAGGACTGCTCTTGTGACTTCCCCCCTCCCAAATAAAACCCCTGCTCCTATTAAACCACCGACATCTGTGTCTCCCCAGATTTCTACCACCCCCAAGCAGCACTGATAACATCATCGGCTATAACATCTGCTCTAACGTCGTCATTATCATCAAATTCTACAAATGCTCCATCAACATCTGGCTCTAAACCAATCGTTGTGTCTCGTACTATTGTCACCGTCCCAAAGGCAGCAATTGTCAGCGGACAATCTCAATTCGTCATGCACCAAGGACAGTTATCTGCCGTCAGTAAACAGCTCACCTCTGAGCAACCTGGGACGCAAGTCTCACGGATTCTTACCTCAACTAGCAAAGCTCAAACAACAAGCTCCGTACCCAAACAAACTGTTCGCGTGAGTCACGCAGGAAGCTCTCAGACAGGCACGAATCTCGTGAAGAAAGCACGACACCTCAAACCATGGCACGCACCATTCAGGTTGGAGTAAAACGAACAGTGACTTACAACCCTTCATCATCATCGAAAACCGTTACGGTCGCGTCAAGATCTCTTCCGTCCGAAGCTCTTACAACTCATGCTTCTAACGTTAGCGCCATGAATATTGCACGGTTGAAGGCGAAACTGAAGTCAATAAGCGGTCTTCAAACAGGAAATTTAACTGGTGCAATGCAGTTGACCACTTCACAAACCTTGACCAACCTTTCTGCGCAAATCGTTCAATCTCGAAACGTTGAACAATCGTCAAAACAACCAGGAGACGCTGCCCAGATTACTTCAAAGGTGCTAACTCTGGCTGATCCGCGCGTATCCAGTCTGGTCACCTCGGCCCAGGTTACTCCAAAGCTGAATACCCCAACTATAGCGACGTCTATCGTCACCCAAACCACGACGACATCGAAAGTGCAAAGTATGACGTCTTCTACTGCAGTTACAGTACCAAAATCAAAGTCTCAGAATGATGTTCCATCACCGCCGTCAACAGAGACTTGTTCATCATCAATTCAGTCCTCTTCTTCATCCTTGAAGCCTGGGACGAAGTTAATTCCTTCAACAACAGAGAAACAATCAACTGAGCATTCTGTTCCCCGGGATTCTTCTAAATCAAGTCTTCCTTCCGATGTGAAATTGACCGCACAGCCTCTGGCGAAACCAACGACGCATTTCATACAAGTCCCCGCTTCTGCTAAATCAATCACGCAGAATATTTCCAAACTAAACAACCCATCTTTAAACACGAAACGCGCGCAGATTCCAAGTCGAGTCAACACGCAGTCGCCCCAACTCCCGACTTCAACCCCGGCCGCCAGCATATCACGTGCTACAAACGTGACTACGATAGCTCTTCCATCTAAGAAAGAAGACGCGATAACAGAACCAGTCGCGAGAAGCGAGAATAAAGAAAGCGAACAAACGAATTCTGGTTCTATGGATTCGTGTCCTACGCTGGAATCAAAGTCTGACGACGAAAAGTTGGTTGAAAAAATTAACAGCATCGTGAAAGATGTTGTAAATAGTAAGCAAAGAACAACTAGACAATCTGTTCGTCGTCTCGTTGCTGCAGCCAGGTTAGGTGAAGGGCAAGAAAAACAAGAAGACAGCAGTGACAGCAATAAAGAACAGAATAAAAAGTAAACTTTATTATTTATGTTGTTACAAAGTTCGTGGAGTTGGATAAAGTCATTGGTGAACGATAGGAGAATCTGTAGGGATCGATGTTGATAAATCATTTCTAAAAGGGGATAGCAATAGTGCATGTCCAAACAGTATCAGTTGATATCGTTAAAGTCTCTTCAATTCAAACCATGAAATTGAACATTTTGTGTATAAGACCGCGACTAGTGTCGAGAAAACCCTATTGTTTTCCGCTGATTTCAATCCAATCTCCAACCTGAACTGATCCGTTGTTTTGTTTAAAATTATAGTTATTTCTGTTTTAAAAAAAATGTTATTTTGGCGATAGTTTTGAAGGTGATATTGTTCGTTGTATAAGTAAATATATATGCTTGTAATCAAGTGAAATAAACAAATACACTTGAATTATTTCTGCTGGACTAAGTATGCCAAAGAATTCTATTTTCTTAGTATGAGTAATTCATTTGAGGTCATACGTGAAATTTTATCGTCAGGAGTAACTAATCAAGAATTGTGGGTAAGCTTGATCATTGTCGAAGACAACAAACATGGTTGGGTTTGTTTGGTTATCCACACACGAATGGTAGAGCTCATAAGGTTTGTTAGGATCTCTCGGCGGTGGACGCACTGTGTTGGAGTTGCCAACAACGTACAAACCAACGATGACTTTGCTTAAAAACATCATTTTATGTCCCGTCGTTCGTGATACGTTTGAAAAGCCGTCGGAGTACGAGGCCGCCACGGCGAAGTACGATCCTTTGCCATAGGCTGTACCATGAGCACCATTCATTCGCCAATCAAAACCTTGCTGGCATATCGCGTTTACCGCATTCTCGCCTGTCCCATGGAATAAATCTCTGACTTCAGCAGGTCTGCCCAATTTTCGTGAAAGCTTTGACAATTTTCTGTAAAATTGTACCCACAAAAAATAAGCGTGGAATCTTTTTACTTTTGCCTCGATTCAATCTCAGCTCCAAACAGATTTCAATATATTTATATATAGATAGTCTTTTCTAGTTAGCGTGGTTGGTGCTGAAAGTAGCATTCCATGTTCCCGGGAGCTCTTTCTTATTCTACTGGAAAGCTCTAACGGTATTTTTTGCTGGGGCAAACAGTAACTTCTTGAACACACTATCTACCTATCAGCCTACCTTGAATATGACTCCCACAAATCCATGTTTTGAACACGTTCAATTTTATGAATCGTTTTATTACTTAGCGTTATCTTAAACTTTGCCTCTACGGAGAGGTATTCGGGCGATCCTTGCTGTAAAGTAACCATGGAAACATCTTGATCACATGACATTGGCGTCCATCCTTGAGGTAGAGTCACAGTAGGGCCTGGGGGTAACGCTAATGGTGATGGTTGAGTTTGGACTGCTGGTTGTCTCCTAGATGTGAATATGATGGAAGTATTAACTTAACTAAATTCAAACTGGGGCCTTTGCTCATCTGTCAATACTTTTCCTTCATATAAAAACTGACCTAATTTCTTGCCTTGACTGCAGAAATGGAGTAAAGCGTTGCTCTCCAACAAATTCAGTTGGTCTTCTACGAATTTTCCTTGTTTTCCCAGTGCCTGTATTCGTTGCTGCTTGTTCGTCAGGTCAATGGTATATGTGTAGCCATTCAAGGGTAATGTGAAAGATTGTGCTCCTAAATTGTGAATGATAAAGATTTGGTTTTTGATCTTTATTCAAAGGTTCATAATACAAACATTCAACTTACCAGATAAGAAGTTCTCTTCAAGTATTTCATTGCTGCTTGGATTCTGAGATGTGCTAGAAGCGTCTTGACCAGCTCCATCAAAGGGGTCCATTGATTTTGATCGTTTTGCCAAAACCAGAGTCCATTTCGTACCAAACAATCCCCAGGCGCTGCCTTTACCCATGAAGAGGTCGATAAACGACGAATGTTCCACGTCTGGTTTCCTAAATTTGGATTACATTCCCATCATAAATGACTGTGTCGCTTACTTGAACATTTCATGATCATGAAGACTTACCTGCTTGTGTTTTTGCAATCATATCCTCGAAATAAATATGAAAGAGTGAGTCTTGCGCTCCGCTAATATTTATCTCCAGAGAGATATCCTTGTTCACGTCGGAATAATCCCATTCAATCAATTGATTATACTTTGCGGGAAAACGAACCCACTTTTCTATGCCATCATCCATTGTTAGTTTAATTTGCCAGATATATGGTAAATTGTTCCAGTGTCTTTTACAAAGACGACCATAGCGACAGTTTCCTCTCAGATGAAATCCACATACTTCGTCAATTGTTGGTGGATCGGCACGATTCAAAGCGACTGTCTTCGCTAAGTTTATGAAATTTTGGTAATTTATAATTCGTTGTGCAATAACTGACCTTTCGAGTGCTGTAAAGTTTTTCGTCAGACGGATCTTTTCTTCCAGCACGTCGTGACTTTTTCCACAGTCAGATCCTACATTTTCACACCCTCCTGTAGAGAAAGCGTTGCATAAATGCAATTTCATACAGGAGTCTCCGGTTGGACAACCGTGGACGGTGTTGTAAGACGAGCATACTTCAAGATTGTCAATCATTCCATCAGATTGTCCGAGAATGACGTTTCGTAACAAAGGTAACAATGATTCTTCCTGAAGCTTCTCGAGATGAAACTTTCGCAGAATTCCTAGTTCATGCTCATCAGAGACATCATGATTAAGCGAGCAATTCGCATTTTCGCAGCCTGCTTTTATAAATGAAGGACAAACGTGTAATCGCGAACAATTAGCAAACACGCATTCACCATTGACATAATTTTTGCATAACTCAATAGCAACTTTCGCTTTCAACGTGGCTCGATTACCAGGTTTCTCAACTTCAAGTTTTAGAACGTCACTCAAGGATGTTTGCAGCAGTGGATAGTAGCCTTCCTTGTCTAAAAATGAAACCGCTTCATTGCTTAGTGAACGTAATTTCATATCCGTCACGTCTATTATTCCACCATTTTTACAAACCATTGCAAACAACTCCTTCGCTATCTCCTCCGTTTCATTATGCGCCATGACTGATGATCTTAAAGCTTTAGACAAGCTAGTATTTTATTGAAAATTCCTACTTTGTTTGGTTTAAAGAACTGTTAATAGTAAATGGGCAACTGATATTCTTGATACTAGAATATTCTTAGAACTGTAAGGGAAATTCCAGGAAGTTCGTACAGGAAATGCCGCAAAGAAAAAGTGAAAATGCAAACTTAGCTGTTATTCTACTAGGATGGATTGAACTTTACTTCTACGCATTTCTGTTGAATTTTACCATATGATTTAAGCCTCTCTCAAACGTAATAAGATGATGAGAAATCGTTCAACCTGGTGAGCAAACTCGTACCCTTTTAAATCTTTTTCTTCCCGCGAAAAAACCCTGGGTACGAGGTAGCCTGATGAAAGGTTTTGGAACATTTAGGCTATACCGTGATTAGGCTTCCATAGTGTTGATTCCCCCAACAATTTAATAGATATATTAAAAATGATAGTTTTTCCAGAAAAGGCTATCTAAAAATATATCATAAATCGCTGTGGTAAGCTAAGAGTTGAATTGCCAGACATGACGTCATTGTATGTGGTGTTCTGGGAATTCCCTCAACGGGTATTCCCGGGAAACTGACTATAAAAACATTCGACGTGTAATATTGTTTCACTTCTTGTTGTGATTTGATGCACTTGAGAAGATTTGTTTTAAAGCTAAAGAGAAACACGGCTGTCAGATTTCTTTTACTTTCACAATGGTCGAAGGAGAGTGGAAAAACGTTAAACGAAGGGAAAGATACATCAGAGAAGAAATAGATCCTTTGAAATTATTGAGAATTCTTGACGGTGACACTCTGACGAAGTCAGACTGTGAAAATATTCAAGCAGCTTGTATTAATCACGGTCCGATTCATGCAACCGAAAATGAACTTCTCAGACGATTGGAAAAGAGGGGTCCTCAAGCATTCTCGAAATTCGTGAAGGCTCTTCGCGAAACAGGACAAGATCACGCTGCTCAACTTTTAGACCCAAAGTGTGAAGGTAATTTGACACCAAAATATTAAAACATTAATGAATGTCGTTGTACTAAACTACTAAAAATAGGCAGAAATATTTATTACCGACCTGGAATCCCTGCCTTGCGAACTAAATATAAAGGACACGTTTTCGAAATCGAGGTCTTGTTTACTTAGCAAAAAATTATTATGACAATACGTTGGGTAAGTCCCATGTTATAATATATATCCACAGTCATACATGGAAGTTACTGGTGGCTCTCAGCAATAGTTAATAAAGCAATAATGATGTTTAGGTCTTCAGGACCATCACCAACTTTATTGCTTAATACTTCAATTTTTTCTGTAGTAACTGGTGCAATCTCAAATGAAAAGCGAGATGATAGAGTCCTTGAAGCAGGAGTTGCTGCAGGTATTCTACTGCTGTTGAATGCCAATGGCTGAATTTATTCTCTTCTCATTAATTGAGTATTTAAATATTAATTGATAGATTCCTCTGTGGCTAAAAGGGTTTTAAATTTTTTTAGATATAAGAGTGAAGATATTTCTGTTAGAACCAACTGAGGAACAGGTTAAGGAATTGGAAACATTCTGTGACAGATTTAAAAAATCTCATTTTGATGAGACTGGTAATCTTCGTCAACATTTTAATGGTTTTCTGAGTGAGGTATAATGGGAAATGATTTAGTTACTTCACTTCATGTATTATTCCTTGATCCATCAACTACAAGATTTTTGAATTTAAAGTTTTAGCCAGAACCTGATCTTGCTACATTCGAGTGGTGATTATATTGTTGAACGTGTTGACCATATCCTTTGACTTTTTATTTTTAGAATGTTGAAAAGTTTGTCAATCTTGTGAAGTCAACGTATGACATTAAAAGTCAGTTAATTTTGATTTTCCGTTTTTCTGATGTTGATGCAGCCAATACATTTTGGCATGATTTTACCAATGGAAACTTGAAGTCCATTATTAAGGAAAAGCTTCAAAGTTTCCCCTGCCAGAACAACTGTTTCAAAAATGAGGATATACAGTTTGATATTGTGGTTGATGAAGAAGACTTCACAAAAGTTTACAACACTCTTAAGGACCCAAAAGAATGTATGTTTCAAAATAATAGTTTTATAGACTTTAATTGTCATTATTTTTCCTGTAGTCATTGATATAAATTCTTAAAATATTAAACTTGTAGATGGTGAGATATTGGTTGATGGTATGGAAAAACAGGAGCTGAAATTGCATGAATACCAGCTTGAGCTTGCAAAACCTGCTCTTGAAGGCAGGAATTCCATCATCTGTGCTCCTACTGGAAGTGGTAAAACATTTGTTGCAATGGAGGTGATCAGGCACATCACTGCAAAACCAGATCACAAGTTTGTGGCATTCATAGTAAACACAGTAAGCTTGGTTGAGCAACAACAGTCATACTTGGAACGATATCTTCCATACTCTGTATCAATATCAAGTGCATGTGGTAGCTATCAGGACATTCATCTTCCAAGTATTTTGAAAGAAAATAATGTTGTTGTGATGACAGCACAGTTGTTATTGAATTGTTTGAAGAAGAAGCCTGCAGTTGATGAAGAAGATCATCCTGGAGGAGTCAAAATATCTCAGTTTTCTCTTCTTGTGTTTGATGAATGTCACCACACAACCAAAGATCATCCATACAATGAGATTATGAGGTGGTACTTGAGACATAAATTTGAGGTAATTTGTTTTGAATTATTTACTTTCGTTTGTCAGTTTCTTATAATCACTCTTATTTCTACAGGCTGATTCCCCAATCCTGCCACAGATTATTGGTTTATCAGCTTCTCTTGGTATTGGTACTGGCAATCATGGATCAGGTTCTAAGGCTGAAGAACACATCATGGGATTATTGGCTAATATGGATATCCATGATTTACAAGTTAGTTTCCGAAATTGTTCCACTTAAGATAATCTAATAGTCACACGGGTCGCGAGTTTTTGCCCTGCGTCAGGGAAAAAACTTGCGAAAAAAAACTTGCAAAAAAAATCGTGATTTAATTTAAACTAGATAAACTCATACTGGAGTAGTCTAATTCATTGTGGAGGCCAGTGTCAGGGTCATTTCTTATTGGTCAAGTGTTACTACAGAAAACCAAACTAAATCAGCATCATTCTTGATAGATTGATACATTTTTTTAACTACATGTTACTGCGTTCAGGTATATACCGGAGAATCACAAGACGTCAGTACAAATATCACTCCGATATCACGTGATGAAAGCAACGTATTTCATAGAACAATCGATGATGTCATGTGCAATATTGAAAAGATGCTTTCACCATCTCAATCTTCAGACAGATCCACCTACCAGCATGGTAGTCAGCCCTATGAAAACTGGGTGGTCAAGTTATGCAGTGCAGGTTTAGACAGGGATAAATTAACCTGCGCTGAACATCTCAAGTTCTACAATAATTCACTGATGATGAACATTGAGTTACGTACCGAAGACGCGCTACAATATTTGCGTAAATCTATCAGCCCATTAAACCACGAGCAATCAACAGAGGTTGAGAAAAAACTTGACGAGTTTTTTGTA